TGGGTGAAGTGATAGAGTGGGATCGACACTTTACAGGAAGGGCCAACATGGAGTATTAACCTCCTTAAAGGAAATTTGACTGCAGTTTTTCATATAGTTATTTGTTTCAAGTCAGTTAGAACTCACAATTACATCAATTGTACGCATGTAAATAGATATTATTCATCTCCTTGAGGTGGCTGTGTTTCTGATGTGTGAATGCACTGCACAGTATATAGTACTGTTAAGTACCAAAGAATTGGAAGCACACACACACACAGCTGCGTGTCTATGACTTCAAAAATGCCTAAACTTAACCTGACCTTAAATGAATGATGGGGACTTGATTTCTCCTTATTGGCAACAAATCCACCTTATCAAAATCAATATTGACAACTCTTTAGTTTCTCACTCCCCTCAGGTTAGGAGTCTGGGTGTCATCCTTGATAGCACTGTATCTTTCCAAGCCAAGCAATAATGTTACCCGGTCCACATACTCTCAGCAACATTAATCTCTCCGCCCATCCCTCACACCCAACACCCCCACCATTCTCATCCACACCCTGGTTACATCCTGCATTGATTCCCTTCTTTTTGATCTCCTTCATAAACTTCAATCAGTTCAGAACTCTGCCGCTCGCATCCTTTGCAGAACCCCCTTCCATTAATCACATCAATGTGACAGACTAGGTCCCTACAACATGTAATACCTGGACCACACACACGTACCTATAGACGAATATCAGTCATTCAGACCACCACATGATTAAGGTGTGATACCATAGTACATAACAATCAAAAATGAATGGCTCTAGTGACCAATGATACATACAACAAATCACAAGGGTTTTTTTGTGGTCTATTTACACAACCCTCAGTAGCCATATAGTCAGATGTGCTGAAGGATATAGAGAAGTGCCCATTACGGCCACTGAGTGTAACCTTGCTGGGTGTGAGCTGCGTTTGAGGCATGCCGATGAGCTCAGTGACTCGGGGGAGGTCAGTGACAAAGCAGCTAAAAGCCTGCTCCTGCTGTGATGTCAGAAAAACATGTTTTCCCTATTGGGACAAGGTCAGTGGCTAAGGAAGAAGGTTACAGTAATTATAATTTGTCAAAGCTTATCACCATTTCACACTCCACAACAAGTGACATCTTGAAACGGCCCCCATTAACAGAGGCCTCTTCTCACAGGAAACTTGTTTCAGACTCATAGCCAGCAGAGACCATGGTGGCATTATCATCAGATATGTCACATATGGCTGTGACGCACTTGTCAAATGGCAAGGACAGAGTGTAACAGAGATGTTAGGAATACATAACAATGGCTGCATGAACACATACAACTCCATATGACATTTGTAGGGGTGGTGAGCGGAGTGAAATGATGGATGGGACTAACCAATACTCATAAATTAAAAATGAGTATCCGCTCAACACTCGAGCACTATATGCCCGTGTGTAAATGTCAGGGTAAAGTGACAGTGGAAGAAAACACTCAGGAAAAATAACAGGAAGGACAAGGGGATTCACAGTTCAAGGTATATGCTCAAAAATGAAAATGCACATTAATTTAGGGCAGAATAAATTATGGTTTGGAAACATTTACTATTTGACGTGGCTCTAAGTGTCAAATGGTTTAAAAGGTGACAGTCTAATGAAGATTTTCCTGATTTAGATCCATCTGTACAGTTGCAATCTCTTTTTTTAAATAAAGGTATGTTTTAGTTTGTTTCAGAAACACTTTATCTCGTTTGTCGAAATCATCTTCAAATCAATAAATAAAGTCATCTGAAAAAAAGATGTGTCTGTGGCCCTCGCAAAACTGTCATACACATGACCAATCATTTAATTTGTTCCAAAGGAAATGATTGGTCAGTGTATCTGTGTGCTCCCTGCCTGTGCTCTCACTGAACATGACCAGTCTTCACCCGGGAGACATACATCGCCAAAGCAGAGACAATAGCCAGAAGATAGCAGTTTAGGAGGCACAGCTTTTAGGTGAGTGCCAATGGGAGGGCGTGGGATGTATCGGTTGGGTTTTTTTCCAAGTGTAGCCTGCTCTTAGCTTTTCTGGCTTCAATATGTTTTGTCTTACTCCATAAGCCTCTCTTATACAATAGAGTAGCTCCAGATATTATCTTACAGTGTATAGGCCACCGTTTGACTTTGACAGCTTTCAATACAATTCATGGCAAGGACAGCTCAGATTTGTGGATGGCAATATAAGTGTTAACATCTCATCTGCCACTCTCCCTGATGCATCTGGTATTGACATAAAACATCATCTATCACCAGAAACTGCAAGATTTCCCTCCCAGCAAGAAAAAAGGCGAAGAAATGCATCAATATTCGTCCTTTTCCACTGAATTAGATCCAAAAAAGAACTATGAAGAAGACAGAGCAGCAAACAGAAAACAGATTAACTACGACAACACCCGATCCGGCATGCAGTATATGCATTGGATTCAACATTTTCATGCATCCAATTTGATGCAGATCCAAATAAAAAAATCCTGATGTAGTAAATTTGAATGTGGTTTCATAAGGAGACTATTTATTTTAATATTGGGTTGGTAAGGGAAATGTAACATTTCGATCATGCAGAATGTACTCTGAAGCTAATGTTCATTTCACCTATGAATGATCATGATTACAATGTAACCTTGATCATGCAGAATCCACTGCAACTGATTGAATCTTGGCCTGGTTGCTTAAACTAAGGCATTGTTACCCTGATGTCATCAGAAGATCCTGACCTTTGGCTTAGAAACAACCTCAACCAGAGGGGGAGGAACGAGCCAAATAAAGAGAAAGAACAGCTTTCCATTAGGGTGCATATTAGAAACCAACCTTTGCAGAATTGAATCAAGAGATCAAGAGATCCCTAAGGAAATTATGTTTTATGCTTTATTTTCAATATCTTCCACTTGTTTTACAATCAGGGCAGTTAAAGGTCAACTGACACCCTAAATTTACTGACTTTCATTTTCAGCAATTAGGCAGTTTTTTTTTCTTTTAATTGCCCCTGACACCAAATGGCTTTGGTTTGACAGTAAGAATTAGCATTCCAAGCAGTGCTTGTATTAAATGTAAAGATTTACTGGACAGTTATGCCATTGTTTGTTGGAGTTCAACTTTAAAAATGTCAACTGACTTTAATATGTATGGCTCAGTTATATATCCATTTGACCTATAGAAGATCAGCAAAAGAAATGCAAGGTCACCTTCACATCCATCCATCACTTTTATGCCTCAGATCACAATCGTCCCATATACTGAACAGACAAGACTGCCAATGGATAAAATTGTATGCTTCAGATTTTGGAAAGCAATTTAGAGGAAAACCAGTCAGTCATTAATTTTTCAGTGCTGTGCCAAAGCTAAGGTCAACAGAATGTGCCAGGGGTATCACGCTCTTGATCACTGGATTGTGGTTCACATATGACAAAACTGAATTTGCTTTTCAAAGCACATGTTCCTGAGGCTAATGTCTGTTTTTCAACGCTAACAAAAAATGGGGGGGGGGGGATAAAATTTCCTCCAGGGTAACCAGCATGTGGTTGAAAAAAAAACTTAGCCCCACAATTCATTTCTCCAGCAAAAAAAAGTGATGGGAAATCACATGAATGGAGGAGTAAGTATTTTGACATGAATGTCAAGTTGAAATTTACCGATCCTCTGGATTGTAGCCATAGAAGTCTGCAACTTGCCCGTGAGGATTAATCATCTCTCTTGACTAATGGAAAGTCCTTGGCAATCAAACCTTTGTGGCTGACAAGCACACCTCTTTGACAAAGGAGATTCAACACAGTTATTATGTTCCGACCATAAGTATGTGAGTCACAGATGGTGTGAAACTGATCAAACATGTCAGGATATACAGCTGGTTAGACATTAAAGGTCCAGTGTGTAAGATTTAGGTAAGAGGGAACTATTGGCATGTAGAATAATCCTCATGATGTTTTCACTAGTGTGTTTCATCTAAATTGTATGAATTGTAGTTTTCTTTACCCCAGAAAAGGCCCTTTATATTTAAATAATTATTTACATCAAGAGGACCCTGTCTACGGAGGCCGCCATGTTTTTTTACATTAGTCCAGACTGGACAAACTAAACACCTTTGGAGTTTTTATGACAACTGAAGGCTTCCACAGGTTCTTGCTCATGTTTGGAAGGGGAGGGTGAGGTGGGGGGTGTTCAGCTGCAACATGAAACTTCACTACTAGATATCACAAAATTCTACACACTGTACCTTTAAGTATTCCACAGTCGTCCTGGGCTTTCACAGGGAAAGTGTTGCAGCTACTGTTTCAGTTCTGCTCTCCTGTTCTATAAGGGGTTCTTTAAATAAACCAAAGAGCAACTTCTTCAATCTCTGTCCTGTAAATGGATGACATCTGTGTTTCCCTCTCTCTGTTGTTTCTTGCATTTATGGAGGTTTGTTTATTTGACCTCAACTTTTGACTGACCCTCAAATTTTGAAATATCACTCACTCCCCCAGCTGTCTGGAAAATATCAACTGCTTCGAAAGTTTTCCATGTTTATCAAGTCATGGTTGTTGATTTTGAAAAAACTTACTGTCAACCGAGAAAAGGTGTCCTCAGAAAGGCAACCCTGAGCCCCGCACAGCAATGCTAAGCACTGAAATTTAATGGAAACAGCTTTGGTGGGGATAGCTAGTGCGAGAAGGTGATTTCTTTATTTGCCCATCAGAAGAAAAAGCAGGAAAAATAATATTTTCCCTACACAGGTTCACTTCTATTTATTTGGAGTCAAAGCATCACTGACAGTCACGATGGGTTCACATTTTACTGACAGTGACTTTAATTTCAACATGTAATGTTGAATCAGTACAAGTCAACCTACAGCATAAACTCCATCCAGGATGCACTTTGGTCGCAGCTTTTAGTAGTAATGCAGTCAGAAAAACAAACATGAATCAGCCCCACAAAATAAACTACAAATGAGTGATGTGACAAAAACTGTATCTATATTTTCGGCAAGTTTTACAACACTGACCTGGCCCAGCAGCTCGGGCAGTCCCAGCACTTGTCCTGTGAACACTCCCAGGCAGATCAGGATGGAGTTGAACTGGCCGATGAACCCTCTGATATGTCGTGGGGAGATTTCTCCCAGGTACATGGGGAGGGCACTGAGAGCTATACCTGTCAGATAAGAAAAGAAATTTTAAAAACAGTAATGCAGCTACTTCTCAGATTTGTCTGATAGAGGCATTAAAGCACAGAAGACCTAGAAGCCACATGGATAATTAATGCACACAGACATCCTTATAAATGTAATAATATGGTGGAGTGATGTGTATCTAAGACTGCAGTTGGCTATAGTAAGAGTGAAGCGCGTCACAAGGAGTTATTACCAAAAACTGATTCAGTATTAAAGCTGCAGTGCAGAGGTTCCAGCAGAGAGTAATTACACTAACACTCCTGACACATGCTCATGAGGACATTATGCCTACAGGTGAACTCACCAGGGGAACCCTGGGGTTTACAGGGTTTGCAAGTCTTCCCATATGCAAATAGGGGCAAAGTTGACTTTGTCTGCCCTAAAGTTACCTCAGGGGTATCTAATGGTGTATTAAAGTAGTGGTTGTTAGTCCAACTTTGACACCATTATTCCACTGGGAGTTTTGGAGGCCTCCGTTTCAGGCCTTACTTAATTTTGAAGGTCCTGTCTCCATACTCCATTAGAGTCTCCATCGTGCGTCTATTTGCATTTGTTGTAATGATTACATTTCCACACACTAAATATGTATGCAACAAACAACCATTCCAGTAAGGGAGCAAACATAATTACATTTCTTTATGCTGGATATATTGTGCTGTCTTGTGAAAGCATACAGTTGCAACCAGAAATCTGATTTGTATGGACTTGACCTGTGTTATGGGTCTTTGTCATGCATAATGTTACAGCTGTATGTGTCTCAGTCAAAGACTAAGATATACAGCTGTAACATTATTAACCAGCCTAGCTACTAATTACATTTTCCTCCCGATTGGAGACTCTCGCCGTGTCTGTCAGGCTGCATACAGTGATGCTCTTTTTACAGATGCACAGCATATAAGCACACAAAGGCTAGATGCACACAGTTTTTCTACAACACCGATCGCTACTGATGCAGACTCTGCAAGTTAGCACATTAGCTTGTCCTCGCCACCAATCAGTGCTGTGTGAACTGTTTAAATGATCTGAATGTGAACAACGTTCATTTACATGAAAAATTTGCCTGACAGTTCAATCATCCCTAATTTCTCAAATTAATCTGCAGTTTTGTGCTAACGGACTTGGAAAAAGTGACTTTTTATTTGTGCCAGCAGCAGGTGAGAGTCAGCCTGTGTCTGATGATTTAACTGCAGTTTAAGCTCCTCAAAAGATATGTCTGCAGGCAATATAACCCACAAATCACAGGGATGACTGGGCAGTGAGGTTCCACTCTTCCTCTGTGATTATAGATGAGCAGCCACAAGAGCAGGTGATGCCTGCAATCTAAGTGGTGTTTTTACCGATGCATGCGTGCTTTCAGGTCTGACAAGAAATCTTTGATCTCTGCCAATTTCAGCAGAATTTCCTTCTTGTCCTGGGGGCTGTTAGAGGGCTACACCAAAAGCCTGCTAATCTGATTCATCGCCTGTACATTTTTCATTTCATTAGTTCAAGAAACCAAGCTGCAAACTTTTCAATCCTGCTTGAAACTTTATATGGCATAATAATAACAATAAAGTTTTTCTCAAATAAAACAAATACAAAAGCAAATCTCATGTTTTAGCACATGGAAGTTTCTCAATAGCTTTAGATAAAACTTAAAATAAACTTCAATATACAGATACTTGATTTGCGTGATTAAAATGAGTTAATTGTTGTTGGTGCACAGTGACTTTTGTGCACCACCTGCTGAGTAAATAAGCTCCTACCAGAGTCCACCCCGATGATGAGACGACCGATGATGAGCATCTCAAAAGATTTTGCCATCTCGCCCAGGGACAGCAGCAGCGCAGCGATTATGGCAAAGATGTTATTCAGCAGCAAGGTTCCCTTCCTACAGGCAAAGAGAGAACATGGTTAAAAGTGTATCAACATCAAGTACGAAGGCTCAGGTTAAAATGAACCTGCACACATTCTATACGATGAAAAAGAAACCAAGGTTATTTTATCTAACTGTTGTAAAGCAAAATTAGCAGAGGCGGGAATCATTTTAAAAGCTTGACTAAAAATGACTAATTTAAAATGGTATTCAAGGATATTTATAGAGTATAAGGAAATGAACAGCTGTTTTGAAGATGCATACAAGTCAAACTCAAAAAAAAAAACTTTATAGAAAATAAAGCACAGTGAAATATAAAGTCAAGTGAATTTGAGCCAAAGTGATTTATAAAAATGTCAAAGGAAAAAGTATGCAGTAGTGGAGGAAGTACTCAAACATTTCAATATAAATAAATACACAAAACTGTACTCAAGTAAAGGCACCATATTAACTTTTCTTCTTGAATAAAAGTAACTAAGTATTTACTTTTACATATACTCAAAGTGTTAAAAGTACTTGCCAGTGCAGCCTATTCCCAAATGCAACGCTCTACTACATCATTATCTGAGAAACTGTATATTCAGTACAAGAACATTGTATGTTTATATTTATGAAGAATATTACAGGTGATGCTACTGAAAACATCAAAGCATTGTCATATTGAAAGGGGTTTTTGTAATTGTGATAACCCTCAATTAACTGCCTGCTCCAATGAGATCATATAAAAAAACAACAATGTGAACAGGTAACATCTTGCTTTGTAAGTATGTAGAGGGTTAGAAGAGATATTAAGTACCAGAAAATAAATTAACTTAATATATCAAATGTCACTAAATACAGAAATAAAAGAAAGAAATGCAGTAAATACAATTCAAATAAAATAGACATTAAGAGAATGATGAGACAGAATGGGGTTGGATTAAGAGGCAGATTAAAAAGGCAAGACTTTAACTTTGTGGAGCAGGAGACTTATTGAGGGCCTGGGGGCAGCAGAGAAAGACTCAACACATCGAGGGACAGAGCCTATTAACACAAGTCCTTCAAAAGAAGCTGAAGGCCGGGCTGAATCTGGGCCTCCTCTCCTCATGAGAGACTAAAACTAATGATGCATTGAGTCATTAACATCAAACATTTTCAATGTTTGACATCAATCACCCAGCAAAATGTAGGATAGATTCCACGTTACCAGGTTATCACAAATTGCAAAACAATGTTCTGAGTTAACAGCAATGAGGAGCGTATTGTTCATTAGGGATGAAAACAAAATTGTGATACAAATGTCCACAATCTCATAATACAGGAGGACAGAACCATAACAAAACTAACTTTTCATTTCACAATTACAGGTAAAATTTACATGTAAATCAGGAAACGCTTATTCTACTCAGGGCAGCTGCATGTTTTGTAAATATTGCACAATACACTTACTTTGCTGTCTTCCAACTGCATGTGTCACACTTTTATTGTGACAGTGGCAAGGCTTTTCAGACTCAAGCACACAGGAGGGGACCATTGTGAAGGTAAGATCAGAAAGTTATACACAGAGAATCAGTCCAGAAAAAAAATCCAAAAGAGCAGGCTGGAGTCATCCAAAAGAGATGGACAGTAGACAGAGTGTGAGAGAGCACGTGTACATGAGGGTGACAAACTACCTGGCAACTGCACACTGAACACTGCAGAGTATATAAGGGGTTTCTTGGTGTAAAGCACAGGGACACAACTCATCAGGTGCAGGTGAGTCTTTGTGTCAAGTGACTGGGAGCAGGGACTAAACGACAGGAAGTCCTATAGTCATGCACCAAAATAAAACAGGAAATGTAGATTGACGTGGACATAAATCAGGTGTTACAATTTTCTTCCAATCATGATTGAGAGATCAAACCTGCACTGAAAGTTAGACTGGTTTAAGTCTCTCAGACCCTATCAAACCATGAATTTGGAGAATTGTTACACCCCTATTGGAAAATATATCAGTTTAAGTTCAATTGAATTATCACAATTACAAACTGTGTTCATGATTTTCACATTTACTCAGTGCTATTTTGTCCTTATTTTATAATTTATGTGACAAAGTGGTAATTTACCACTTTAAAAACAAGAGATACATTTGCACTTAAAACCCCACAAAGATATGACCTGGCCTCCATTATGATTGTTGATTTAAAACTCTTCACTGTGTGAAACAAAATGATCAAAAAAAAATCTGCAATGTATCCAATGAAGGTATTGTATTATTATTGTGTTGGCAATATTTGTTGAAAGATTCTTGTGCAAGAAACAGAAGATTTGTTATTGCCGCCAAAAGTGCTCATGTTTTTGTTTGTGTTTGTTAATTAGCAGGATTCTGAAAAAACTACAGAAGCAATGTCTGAGAGATTTGGTGAAGGGGAGGAGCATGACCCACGGAAAAACACATTACATTGTGGCGAGGATCCATATGAGAGGTTGGATCCAGGTTTGTTTGATTTTCACTTTCTTTCAAATTGTGAGATAGATAGAGTAGCAGCTGGCTCACAGATGTCTGCTGGAGAATACTGAGGGAGAATACACAGTGAGAATCGCCACCTGAGAAACCCAAAGTGATTCTTAAAGGTCATCTTAATTTTCTTGAATGACTTAAGAATAAAAAATTCATAAGTCTCTCCCTGCTCCAAGAGCAACATCCCTATCATTACTGGATAACAGACCCCTTTGAAGGTGTATTATTGTAGAGCACTGAGGTGATATCATTAGTGTCACAGTTCATCCCTGGGGAGCAGATGGGTGTACACCTCTGCAGAGCTGCACCACGAGCAATGAAACAACTCAGATCGCCTGAAACCTGATAAAACGCAACATGGAACTCCTGGAACTTACGAAGCAGAATGAGCTGTCAAAGCACTATCACTCAGTCTGAAGGGGATCACCAGGTGACTGTCACTTCAAAACTAGGAATAATCCTGAGTTTCTTAAAAACGTGATACCTCTTGTTTGTGGTAGGTGGGGGATGAAAGCAAGAATATGTTGCTCATTATGAGCATTCATTACTGCTGGTGTCAGTAAGTGAAACATCTCAGTGCAGAATTTGGTGAATCACAACTGACCATATATGCAAATGTTACTTCTGAAATGGTACTACTGATAAATATCATGTGCAATTAAGAAAAACAACCTTTGAGTCCGAACGTATTTACAGAATGTTTAAACTCTGATTTGTGTACAGAAGTATGTGAAAAATGTCAGTATAACAGCAAGGACAAACACAGAAACTGGTACATTTCCTATATGCAAAAACAAACTAAATGTGTTCACATGGAAACACATGGCTCACAAATGGGAGAAAACCGTTTTTTTTTTGGACATTTCTGCTCCAGTCCTTGATTTAGTAAATCAACAAACAAATGGCCCACATCGCAAATTAGGTGTGGCCCAGTGACGGCCCACATCGGCCCAACAACTCAGCCCACATATGGCAAAGGACAGTCAGAATCACAGTCGCCAGATCAGAACCACTGCAATGGACAAGTTATGTAATCAGTGTGTGCCTAAACACAGTTTAACACTTGGAACCAGACTTCCATGGCAACACTAACTGCAAAAATGAAATCAGTTGACAATCTAGTTGCAATTAGTCAATAACTGATCAATAACTTAGAATACGACAAAATATTGTCTATAATCCTCCATACTTTCACATCCACTACCTTAAATACTGCCTCAAGGGGGATCAATCAGTATGTCAGAGTCACTCTGAACACTAAGATTCACAAGAGCTGTAGTATGTTTAGTATGTGTAGCTGGGTTGCTCTATATAATGAGACATATCCACAGACTATTTAGAGAGAAGTCACATTGTCAGTTCTGTGTGATGGAAAATCCCTGTGTACATTGTGAATCCCCACATTTCCTGCCCTGACTCATCAGTTACAGTGATTAAGAGAAACTGATAGCAAAAGGAGTAAGCGCGTGTGTGAGGATCCGAGGGGTAATAAAAGAAAGTGAAAACCGAGAGCCTGAAGAAAAGAAGACAAGAATTGAACTGCAGCGTATCAGCATTTTCTCTGAAGCTCCGAAAGACGGAGCATTATGTTTATGAAAATTGCATGTAGTGTACGTCATGCTGAGATGGAAAATAATCTTGCCTTGGGTTTTAGCAAAGCCAGGGAAAGTGGAGGAGCAAAAGGAAGTGCAGTGATTTCCAGGGAGGCTGTTTTTTTTTTTAAAGCAGTAGTGAAGCACATCTCATTTTTATCTCTGGACCGATTTGCCAACTCCAAACGGATTACTACACGTATGTGTCTCAGGCCGAAGAAACTTATTACGTTTTGAGAAATATTTAACTTTTATCATTTTAAAATGTATTTTTACCATTGACAAATTAAGAGATGAACACTATTGATTAATAAATATTAATCACAAGTCCTCGAGCTGTATTCTGTATTTTGAATAGCCCCCTGAGAACCGCTGATTATTTTGATAATTAAAGAATATGCAAAATCCACAAAGCCCTTTGAAACGTGCCTGATCATACAAGTCAAATATCTGCAGTGAGTCAACTGACCTTCCAAACACTTTGAGGAATAAAGAGACAGACACTGCTCCCAGAAGACCTCCAATAGCAAATATGGACACTGTGACGGACCAGAGGAGGGTGACTGCCTCTGCTCCGATAGGCTCCCCATATCTCTCGATCCACGTCTCATTGTAGAAATCTTTGATGAACTGCAAGACAAGAAAAGACACTTTAAATGTGTGTGCATCATACCAAAGTTATAAATCATACTATCAAAATGATTTGCCTTGTAATAAAATGTGAAAAAATATATAAATATAAATGATGTCAGTGTTTTTATGTCTTAATGCACTGGTGATATATTGTTAACAGTAATCCATCTTTCTCAAGCTTTTGCCCTCAAATCATATTTTTGCAGACCTAAAATAAATTGCACACACACAAACACAAATTGTAAATGACTGCATGAAGAAAATTAACTGAGTGAAGCACATGCTACAGTGAATCACTGAGCCCAGTGTTTGAAATCACCCACAAGCGTTGACTTAAGTGTCCCTGTCACAGATGAACGTGTCAGTGCAGAGCATTCAAGACAAAATTACTTTGTGGCTTTCTTTTTTTTTAATCTTGCATTTTGCTTTGTGTTTGCTGGCAGCTTGCAATCTGGTGAATTATCATGTGTCCAAAGAGAACTAAAACACTAGCCTTGTCTAGTGACAAAAGGCTGATCAGTGCTCAAGGTTTCTTTGGATGCTTTCCTACGAGAGCTGAAAGCAGACAATCATTTTCATTGTCTTCTGTGGCTCAGGAGTGATGATGTGACGTCTTTACACACGTCATACAGAATAACTGTGAGCACAGAGCTTTTTTTAGTATTAGACTTTGATGTGACAATGACTATAATGCACTGAAAAGACCATAACTCATTCTTCAAACACGCTGCATCAGCTAGTAAATAACAGGAAGTTAAGTTTGAAATGTCATATGTGACACCATTATCATGACTCTGATGGTGTCATTAGAGGTCATTTTTGGAAACTGTTATGGACCTTTGGATTTGTAATAGGACTTTTTATCTTGTTATGACTTTTTATAATTTCTTTTTTTGGGGTTGAATTTGTAATATTTCGGTTTGGACTTGTAACTTTGGAGTTGGTGTGATATTTGGATTTATGGATTTATATTATATTGCCTCACTAGCTTGTCCCGCCCTTACAGCCGTCGCTTCACAATAAAGCTAAGGATGAAAAAGTTGTTTAGTTGATTACAAACATTGAATTTTGACATTTTCGCCTCGCTTTTTGCCGCCATTACTTCTTTGAAAACTGCTTGTCACTGAGGCGCAATGAATCATGGGATATGATGACGCAATTGGTCTACAAATGCAGCTTCTGAAGGATGTGGGCCTCGAATTGAGACACAGCCGCTGTGTACCTGCCTTATGTGTTGCACTTGGGTATTTAAGGCCTTGTCTACACAACTGCAGATACTTTTTTGAACTGATATTTTTTCCCCTCAAACTTCCGTCCACAAGACCTTTGTTTTACAAAATTTCTAATTTACAATATATATATAATATAATATAATAATAAGAACAAAAATGACTACACTATCCGGAGTTTTTGAAAACATGCACTTCACTGCATCTCTTGACTTAAAACGCAGCTTGCACTTGCAGACAAAAGACCCAAATGCAGAGGACAAGGTTCATTATGCAAACTATCTGCATCAGTGTGGATAGGGAGTCAGTCTCTGTCTCTCCTCTGTCAGTTTGTCTGTTCACATCCATGGAAGTCTTTGTGCTTCGGTTTTACTCCCTGCTGTTTCCTTTCCTTTTGGTTTGCCTGCCTGCCACATGCCAACATCTAAGACTTGATGACCATTCTAACATTTTCTGTCCTCTCAGCTCCTGAATCAAACTTACTTGACAACTCATCTGTTACCTGCCTCTTTGTCTGTCTAGTTGACACTTTACAGTGTCCTCAGTCCAACGTCCATTGGCAGACTATCATTGTTGCCTCTGTGACTTGTTATTACCTTCATCTGATTCCAGTGAATTTTCTACCTTGAGTCCCATCTCTCAGCCATTATCATAACTTAATGTATGATATGCCTGAAAATTACATCAAGATAAAAAAAAATTCATATAAGTTGATTATAAATGTCACATTATTACATATATTACATATTATGACTAAATTTTTGCTCCTAAGCGAAGGTTTAAAAGCAAAATTAATACTTTCATGACTCTGCGGTAGATCAATTATGTGTTATACCTCCTCACATCAATAAAAAGAACCTTTGTATGCAATAAGTAATAATAATAAATTGTTTTATTGATATTGTTCTAATGCATAACCCATTAACCCATTAAAGCAATCACCCATTTCTACAAACACTTAATACCAGCATAACCAGAATACCTGCATGAATCAGGATGTTGAGAAAACTGTTTCAAAGGTGCTTCTATGCACTGTAATAACCTGTAATATGATTATTTAGTGCAGGTCAGTAGTCTCGTTTTATTTCCATACCCAGGCCTTTATTGCATGGAGGGTTTCAAATGCTGAATATGCACAAATTATTCTTATGTAATTACTGCTTTGATTAAAAGAAACACATGTGACCTGACAACTTGGTATCCATAACACAAACACATAAATGAATAATAAGAAAGACAAATATTTAATTGTCTTCGTGGAGAATTGAAACAATAGCTCCCTTATCCCATCCAGTGGCTGAACTGACCCAGGATCAGATGAGTGCTACAGTAGCTCAGTGTGTGGTTGTCAGACAATTAGCAGCTATGTCCTCACATTGCTCAGTAATATAGTTCCACTATAGGAGGAGTAAAGATTATGCCATCTCTAGTTGTTTGAGCATCTTCAAAGCCTCTTGGATGCATCTACACTTATCAGAATAAACGATCCACCTCAGTGACTTCATTGTAATGTCCTTTCTTTTCCTCCCAATGCACTTCTGCCACTGCGGTACTTTCCCTGTGGGAAGTCGGGCACACGTGAACACAGTAAGACACCAGGTTTCTCATTTACACCAGGGAATGTTGACTATGTGTGTATTATGTATAACGTTTTCATTTCTGAATAAAGAAGATACTCTACCCTAAATCTGCAGGCTTTGTCTGATGACGCTCTGGATGAAAGAAAGGAAACAGATCCCAGCAGAAAACCATAATCCACTTACTGCAGCTCCTGCATTTTAGCATTGAAATAAGTCATTGCTGCTGAGTGTAAATTGTGGCACCTGATGGCAAAACGCCTGAGTGAATAGCAAGTTCTTGTGGTGCTTGAGACTATAAGAGGAACAGGTTTATAAGAATTGAATGAGCATATATTAATATTCCTTTAACCATTGCAGCTACACATTATTTTAAGATTCTCACTGTTGCAGGTTTACCTCCAACAGTGAGACAAGTTGCAGGTTTACATGTCAGTAATGAACGACACTCAGTAAAAAGCGGCTTGTTGCTTCATTGTATATGAATTTAAATGAACAGCAGGAGCTACTAAAGGTTCATATTTCCAGTCAAAAGCAGTGATTTGCAATGAAAGCCATATATTTAAGCTTTCTGTTTTGATTTCATCTCCATATCTGCTGATAAATTAATGTTTTAGAGAGGTTTTTCAGAATAGCCTCAGGTTTGCAATCAATGCTTAGGTTTTAGTGCTTTTTTAAAGGGGAACCTCAGGTCTTGATGGGTTAAAGGGTGCAGTGCATGATGAAAATGTTTACAAGCTGAGCTGCAGGTGATCAGGGCAGCACATAGAGGTGGTAAAACCATAGACTGTATATGGGTAAAATTAAAAAGTTGTTGGATTGGTGAGAGTGCAGGTTTGTGATGGTAGTACAGACCAGGTTTTGGGGGGACAGGTGGAGAGGAGTGTGGCCAGGTTGAGAAGTACAGTATGCTTGAGGTGTACGGCTGCATAGCACTAGTCATCCCTTTAAGAGCAAATCATTCCAAACGGTTTAATAAAGCCTCCTGTGAAGAATAGGGCCTCATTTATAAAACAGTTGGATCCACACTTAAAATGTACGTGCGCACAAAAGCCAAAAAAAGATGTGCCCTAAAAACGATTTATGCATCACAGTCCAGCTTGGCGCACATTTCGCTTCATATCACGTCCACATCTGACCATAAATGGGCAACGCACAGCATCTCATGAATGTAGAGGCATAAAAAGGAGCCTGCGGAGCTGCGGCTGCAGCAACTAACCAGCAGTGTCCACCCTCTCCTCTGAGCTCCCGGGGTTGGAAAATGTGAAATATTGAGTGGAATTTTAGATTTGAGTCGTATTACATCTTATCCCATTGAAGTTTGTTTTTATAGATCACAACATTTGATATGAAAGTAATTAAAATATGGCGCATTTAAATGTGTGCCTCCTGCTGTCTGCCTGTCAGAATGGATGTTTCATGCCTACTCCGATGGAGAACACTCGTTCATACACACACACTTGGGCAGGTTTGATCCTTATAAGAACTTTGCATTGACTTCCATTCAATGTGGACAGCATTACTGTAACCTTATCCCCATGCTTTAACACAACCTAACCACAATGCACATCTCACCACTCGCCTTAACCAGGACCTCAGAAATGATGATTGGCCACATTAGGACCAGGCTTTGGTCCCAATGAGGTGTACTGGTCCTGGCAAGAGTTGTTTTCAGACATGAATCCCAGAGAATGTCCGCACGATTGGATCCGAACTTTCTCCTGAGTTTGCCTTTCACACGGCTCAGCGGTGAATTCTCTGCTTGGACAAGTTCACCACACTGAAATCTCCAGAACATTCAGGGGAGGGGTGGCACAGTACGCAGGACATCCCGTTTTTGTTTACAGCACTGTGACACCGGGGTCAGCACTTCTTTGTTGGTGTGTTCTAGGTTTATGGCACCTCTTTTTACTCCTGAGATATTTATATTATTTTAAAAAAAATTCAGTTTTGCATCTGTAGTGTGTTAGAAACATCATCAACACTCCGCTTGTGGTGAATCCTCCACAGGATCTCCTGCTGTGTTCTCACATGGGCTGGACATTCTCCTGAGTTTTTACTAGGGGGGCGGGCAGGAGGAGCTCTCACTCGGAAATCTGTGTTCACGCATACCAGAGAGCTAAGGTCAGTTTTAATGCTGTTAAAATGTCCTAAAGAGGTAACAAAAACATTCATCACGTCATTTAGATGTTAGTTTATGTGTTTATATCTTTATAAGAAGTGTGAGAGACATTTATGAGTTGTTTATCAGTGGAGATATGTTCCCTATGATCTGCTATTGACGAATTGGTTCTTTGTGATTGTGACCGGGGGCAGAATTTCAATAGATGGCATCTTTTGTCGTTTTCCTGCCGCTGGTGATGGATTGACGACAGTAGCACCTAATAGGCATCACAGTTATGAGAAGATGTATAGTTCTTCATGCTACAATATCACAGCATTAGAGCAAATCAATTCTTATTCTGGAGATCACATGTCAGAGATGTCTGTTTTCCTCTCTTTCACTTTCATCCTCCTCTTTCTCACAGAGTTTACCTCATCAATCGTGACTATAATACTCGTGTTGACTAGTCAAGACTTAATTAAAAGCAGAACCCCACTGTTCTGTGACCACATTGCTCTGTCGTGATCCCAGTGAAGATGTGATTCTTTTGTTCAAGACCTGCACATCGTTGTATCTAATACAGACATGAAAGCAGCTGGCATTATAAACAAGTCAGACAACATTTCTTTCTCTGTGCAGTAGATGATGTTACTATAGGAACACGCACTGACTCAAACATGACATTTGACCAGATACACCTCAGTGATTTATTTAATTGCTAAATCTTAACATGGTAAGGGTTTAGAGCAGCTGGGGGGAACTAGCAGGTGCTAATGCAAATGCTTCCGCATAAAGACAGATAAAAGAGATTGTACATGTAATTTATGGGCCTATCCATTGTCTCTTTTGTTTTTTGAGTTATTTTTATGCATTCTCTGTGTAACCTACGTTGTGTGGACTCTGGGGTTGTGACGATTCTCAAACAGAGATCATAATCCCAGTCCAGTTCTTCTGTTTTGTGAGACTTTTCTTGTGTACGGAACTAATTAATGTGAAGTCAAGTGTTCTTCAGAATTCTTCAATTTACTGTTCCAAATTTTGGTGATTAAATAAAATCCATGACTCAGATCTCGCAACTTTGCGCATGGCGGGTGGGTTAGCTAGGAGTGTAAAACCCATGGGTGCTGGCACCTTTCGAACGTCTCTTGAGGTGTCAGGACTTTGCTCACTGCACAGCGCTACCTGTTGGTTACCATTACATCTGCATCCAACACACACGTCAGTGTTGTAAAGCGGTCAATAAAGAGGGCCTTTCCCTTAATGCTTTACAAAACCTATATAACAGCACACATCTGTAGCTCTGTATGTTCCTGACAGCACAACACAATTTTTCTCTAATTCCGGATGCATTTTTTTTAATCAATGTCTTGATTTAGTCTTTGATTCTGTTCTGGTCCGCCATCTAATGGTATAGTCCCAAGGCCAAACTTAATTGCCGGACATTGTTCTAGAGGCTGTGGGGACTTGATCTCAGTTTCACACTGTGGTTTTCCTGCTGTTCTTATTCGACTCTTAATCCTGTTCCTCAAACTGGGTTTAAACTGTGGGGACTTTCTGGAGGAGCAAAAAGCACCAAACAATGACCCGGTTTGAAACTGCCCTGGAACCGTTTCTCTGCCCATCCTTTATCCTTTGACTTGAGACTAACCAAAATGCCCCAAAAACGACCTGAAAACAAAGTTTCTCCATCAGCTTCTCACCGTGGGGGATGGTTCACCTACATGAACACAAAAGGTTTCTGTCAAGGTGAGAAAAGTTGTGTTTGTTTCATGTGTGAGATTTGACTATATTTATTGTTCACAGTGGTTTATAATGGGCAAAGCTTTTAATGCCTGATTTTTAACTGGATATACATAGTATATATACTTTATATAGTTCTGACACTTACTACTGATTATTGTTTCGTGTCAACGCTGACAGCATTGCATTATGGGATTGTTATTAGAGAAGCAGTACACACTTTGCTCTGTGTTTGTGAATGGAGAAACTACAATCTGTACTATAACTCTCATACATTGTTTTTTTTTTAACCTAGAGAAATATGGGCTTTAGTGTAGCTTTTAAAAAATAATTCAAATTAAAAAAACAATTTTAAAGTATAGCTTGATTTGATTGCTGACTAATTGCAGAACATGAACCCTGAACACATCAAATCATAATAATTGTGGAACCTTCAGTCTCCCATATTATTTTTCTAATATTAAAGCATTAGTGCTTATGTTTCACAAGTTTCAATTAATACTGTCCAAATGTGAACTCTTCAGTAAAATCTACTTTCCAAGATCATTACAACCTGTACTTGTATAAGGAAGGACAGAGCTGAATGTTTGAATACTAATTCAATCACCTGTGTGGCATCCAATTACCTTGAAACAAACGGACAGATTAAAAAATGTGACCTCTGAAATTACTCATTCAAAAGCTGCAGAACTCAACTGTTCCAGCACATAACAGCTAGAAAACTGCAATTTCAGTTTCTCCAATCAGAGATGAAGAAAGTGAAAGGCTAATCAAAGCAACCAACCAGTAAACACACTCACAATGACTTTAATGGAATTTCCCTCCATCTCAAAATGGATTTAAAGGTCCAGTGTGTAAGATTTAGGTGAAAGGAAACTATTGGCAGAAATTTTATGTAGAATAATCCTCATGATGTTTTCACTGGTTCATTTAATCTAAATTGTATGAATTGTAGTTTTCTTTGTCCCAGAAAAGGCCCTTTATATTTAAATACTTTATATTTACATTGAGGGGACCCTCTATACAGAGGTCGCCATGTTTTTTACATTAGTCCAGACTGGACAAACTAAATACCTTTTGAGTTTTTTGACAATTAAAGGCTATCAAAGGTTCTTTTTCACTTTTGGAAGGGGAGAGTGAGGTGAGGGGTATTCAGCTGCAACATGCAACTTCAACACGAGATATCATGATGTTCTACACACTGTACCTTTAAGATCTGGTCAGAAAAAGAGTGAATGAATCAAACCCCAGCAGCTACTGGACTTGTTCAAGTAGGAAAACCTTTGAAAGTGTTTATAATGGAACTTCTGGAATCAAAAGTGTTTGTATGCATGTGTAATGAGAAAGTATTTTTACCTTCGCCAAGGAGCAAGGAGGTTATGCTTGTACCTGTTCGTTGCCTAGTTTGTCAGCAAGATTATGCAAAACTATTGAAAGGATTTCCATGACACTTGGTGGAGGGATGGCACGTGGGCAAAGGTCAAAGCCATTATTTTGTGACAGAAAACATTTTTTTTTCCATTTTAACCAATTTCCCATGAATCTGATCTTGAAATCAGAAAAAAAATATGTTAAGGGATATTTATGAGTTTGTACAATTTGGTGCAGATTTAAATAAAAACCTGGATGTAGCAGATTTGAATATTTCATAAAGGGACTGCTGGGCCTTAGCGGAGGTATTTGCTCTACTGGGAGACATTCTAGTGACATGAGACATCATTACTCATGGGTGGGACCACACCTCCTCAAACTTTGCCTTCATTTTAATCTCAACTACACACCTGCCAAGTTTCATAACTGAATCTTGTAAATTAGTTCCCCAAAGTATGTGATAGTGACCAGAACAGTACACACATAATCTTGATGATCCTTAACTAAACACACAAGGTAAAAAAATTCCCCCAGTTGGTAAATATTAATTGTCTGTCTGGTTGCGGGACTGAAGTCAGTAAACAATGCAGACGGCAAAGACAAGCTTTGTTTGCCCAAAGCCTTGTGTCCAGTGATTAAATGACAAATAACAGTTTGCTCTATGGTGATGAATAAGCTCTATAATGGGATAAGCATAACTATGACAGTGTCTACAAACTCTGATTGAACATTTGCAATCAGCTGAAAAAGAGAGATAAGGCCGTATCGGTCTGCACTGAATTTTCATTCACTCAAGAACACCTTTAATGAAACCTAGTTCTGCTGCATTGTTTTAAAGGAATATTTGTTGAACCCTAATAGATTGACTCACCAGAGCAGGAGCGTTGACCACAGACAGGTTGTAGCCATAGAGGAAAGATGACCCCAGGGCCCCAAAGAAGGCTGCATTCAACAGACAGGCTGTGACTGGCTGCTGTAGAGAAAGAGCACATAAAACACAGGTAAACTCGAGTCATGCAAACACAGACACAGTCAAGGTCTCGTCACACTGCTGCTGATCAATGTCAAGGTCACACAAGAACTGCTGGAATTCAGCAGAGGGTGTCTCACAGGAAACTGGGTTATTCCCTTCACTTGGCCCTCGACCCTGTCACTGATTATATAACAAATACTAAACAAACAGTGACAGTTTACTGTGTTTGAAAGAGTGTCGTTACAACAGAGTTAAATACAATTGTAGTTTAAAGTGAAGTCATTACAAGAAAAATATAAATGTTAGGATTTTTTGAAATCTCAGACTATTTTCCCTACAGGTGGCCGTAATGAATTAAAAATAAATTGAATCACAAAGACTTTCTCTACGACCCAGTCACTGACAATGCTTGGTAGCTCTCCCCGCCTCGTCTAATCAGCTGACTGCTGGATGTTTACTGTAATCCAATCAGATTTCATCATCGCTGTAACCCTCCTCCTCCTCCCTAGTCACCTCCAGTCTCCATATCCAGTGTCCTGGTTGAGCTCAGCTTAGTCCACTCATCTCATCTCATTCAGATCCTCAACAATTTCTAGGTCCCTTCAACTACTAGCAGTGTTGTTTCCTATCCTATCCTATATTTTGCTTTTCAGAAAGTTTCTCCACAGGAGGCGCAAGCGAAAAGGTCACAATGAGATGAAAGTCAAGTCATTCAAATTCCCATTAGTAAGAATCAACATGCCAGTTACATTATGAGATGCATATAAGCAGAGTTGACATTTGGGTCATCCTCTGGAGAGCATGCATGTGTTGTTATTGTCATGGTTCATCTGTGTTCATTCTGTTCTCATGTCAACTTCCACGTGGGAACATTATCAAGGCAAGAGACAGATGGATATTTCTGGATTGATTGGCCCGGATGACATGGCCAAGTCTAAGAGTGTTTTTATTGATTTCAAACCTTTTCTACTGACAATCGATCCAAACTACAAACATCAACAAAGCAAACACGAAAAGTAACACATTCAGACATTTGCTCTGCAGGTCTCAGCACTTTATAGGAGCAAGTAGGAGGAATTGGATTGTTACTTGTCGAGCTACAGAATGACAGCCAACAACAACAATTCCAGTTATGAAAAGCTTCATTCTTTCACTTACATACAACACAAACCTTCACAGTACTTTTCCTGTCTTTTGAGGGTTGGTGGAATGAATGTACAGATAATCTATACCACAACACTACAGTACAGTATATGCGTCCTTTTAATTCATGCACATAAATCATTCACCACAATATTCTTCCTTTCCCGGTATCCCAGATATTTTGTACACATATTTTTGCTAGTTCTGATCTGACTGGCTATTTCAATCATTTTACAATGTGCTACTTTATCTTGTTTTAATTATTTTATTATCTGTAACACTTTATGGATTTGTAGTTATGACAGTGTGATCTTCAAGTTGTCTTTAATTGTTCCTTATTGTTTGATTTTAGAAAAAAGTTTCCTATTGATTGCCTTGAATTTGTCATTTTCAACTTGTATAGCATGTTGTAACTGTGGTTTGATAGGTTAAATATAAGAGGTGTATTATTATTATTATTATTATTATTAGTGCATAAACAATTGCAACCATTCACTGTACACCTCTGACATTTAGAGACTAAAGACAACCATGAATTTCCTGTTTGGTATAACTTAGCTTTTACTTTAATAAATTTCACTTGTGTATTTGAGCTTGATCATTCACAAACACACTTTTATTAAGGGACATCAAAATTCACTTTCACAACAGGCACCTTCTCTTCAGCGTTAACCACAACATCACTGTATGACCCTCCTGAATAGAGACTTGTTTGATTAATGCTTGGAATTAAAGCGCTATGAGAGCCCCCAACCCACCCCCTCAGGAATATGAAAAATTGGCCTTATATGTTTAAAAGCAAAATAAATCAGAAAGCCTCTCAACACAGCAATATGCAGAAATCAAATGTGTGTCGAAAGAGAGGGGGGTGTGAGTGGACTAATGAGGTTGCATCTGCACTGGAACCTTAGTCACTTGGCACAATTGAAACCTGCAGTTCAGGTCAGATCATATCAGATCATGCTTTGGGAAATTAGAAACCAATTGAGTGTGTGTGTTTGTTTTTTTACTTGAATCTAAGTTCAATGTGATTTTAGATTGAACCGCTGTTCCGGCAGCAAGTCAAAGCTCCGCAAAGCAGCAGAAGGATTTTGAACAACAGCACGGAAATTGAGCATTAATGACAAAGGTCATGTACATGTTTACTCCACCAGATATACTTCCAGTCCATATACAGCCCATATCATCTGAATGGGTTAATGTATGACATAAAAAGCCAATAACAACAACATGCCAGGCAGCAGTGACCTACAAAGATGTCTAAGGACAGGGTCTGCCAAACTAATCAAACATCATGAATTGGCAGATGAAAGGACATAATGTTATGCTGCGTTGTGAGGGGTTAAATCACACTAACCTTCCCAGAATTATTTCTGACATCTGTCTCCGTGTGGTCGGACAGGTTGTTCTTCTGTGGTATGTCCATGTTAAAGTTTCAGCAACCTGGAGTGAGAAGTTCATATCACATCAGACATGAAGACATGTTTCACAATGAGAAGAGGAAATGGGATTGATCATAGAAACTTCTGCTGTAAAACATCCGCTAAAAAGGAAACAACAGTGCATGTGCTGACATGCAGCATAGACACCATACAAGAACACACAGGATTAGAGATTAGAACTTGGTCACAATCTCGACTAGAGTTCGAAGCATTCGATTCTTTACTGAAAAACACAATTTTCTGCATTTGTACCGCACCACAGTACAGGACTCCACAACCTTGCCTAGTTGTCATATATAGCAAATACAAGACTCAGTCTGCCACCTAGTGGTAAAAAGAACAGTAAGACAGCCAGAAGACAGATGAATGATTATGCATCGGTATATTTGCTGCAGGGCATTAACTGTAAGATGTGTTTCAAGATATAAGTCAAGTCTTTGTACTCTAAAGGTAAAAAAGTCAATTCAACTTTTTAAATGAGGTTTGGGGGATTCTGAACTAACTCAAGAGAAGATCCAGAACTGAGCATTTCCTTTTTAACAGAAAGGAGTCGGTGTCTCCTGCTGCATCGCTGCTCATTTCCTCTCTCGCCACACAGTTAATTACATTTAATAGCATTCAGTCAGCTTGCATTCAGACTGTAAATGAGCCAGTTGATTGGATGAGTAGAATGACAACCAGCAGGACTCAGAGTCCAGAGGAGCCGGATTAACAGCCAACGCTGCAGAGTGGATTCATTAGAAGACACATGACACATCAGAAACTTCTCATCCTACCCTCCCTCCCTTAAAGCACTTCACTGTCATTGCTAATCTGGATGCTGGAGTTGTTAAAGTGCTTAATACAATTTGTTAGGCCAGTCCACATCAGATGACTGTTATTGGAGAGAGTTTATTGTTATTTTCCCATTCATGATCACTATTACAAAAAAATTTAATATAGCATGAAATTTCATCCCTGACCTTGAAAATCTTACCTCATATATACTGCAGCGATATTGTAAAATCAAATATTGCACCTGTGCCACAATCTGGGCACAATAAATATCCTATTCTGTAAGTATTTCACGAGATATGAGACACAATGCACGATTAGTCTTTGAATTTGACGCGGATTTAACCTTCTCACAGCGGGTGCACAGTGTGATTGTATCAGATATCGATACCTGCAGTAGAACAGAAAGATGCTGATTCATGTCAAAAAAGGGAGAAGTCTTTCTGTTTGTCCAACACAAACAGCAAACCTGATGTAGGCAGTTAGAAAGACTTTAAGGATACACCCCTCTTGTCTCTGTTATCCGATCATGGCCCTGAATAACCTCTGAATGAAACAAGGCTTCCCCGAAGGAGTCCCTGGCCTCGCGTAGGGAACACAATGTGACCTATTTACTGTGCCACACACTCTCCTGCTGGAAAATACTGAAACTAATGCATCGCCAGGTTAATTCTGAGGTATTTCAACAAATGATGACCAAATTCATTCCTTTCCATGTAATGTAACATTCAGATTCAAACCTTTACTGTACAATAATGCAGGCATTAATCTTTTTCTGCTAGTGAGTGACTTGTCACCTTCAATACTGCTGCAACACAACCCAACTGTCCAACTTTTTAAAGCCTCCTCATGTCTCAGAAAGTAATGCATTGACAGGGTGCTACTTCGCTAGAAGAGTCTGTGACTGACATGTAAACAGCTCAGGGTAAAGTCCCCAATAAAACTCCACACACAAGACCAAACATTGATACTAAAACTGATTAACAGATTATTTAACAACAGTGATGTCCAAAGCACTTCCACAGCTGTGTATCATAAGAGATCAAACTCATGTATTGCAAATATGACATCCAGCAGCAGATATAGCAGAAGGCATTGATTCTAATGTTTAACATATTAAAGATATAGTGATTAGCAAAGAGAATATACCTAAATGAGCATCATATCACCTCATGTCTACGNACTATTTAATTAGTTATTCACAGTCATGTTGCACTACCTGAAACAAAAATATGTTTAAAAGTGTTTGATATAATCCTACAACCAGTTCCTTGCAAAGCAATTTCCATAACACAAAATGCATACATCATGTCCGTAAGAAAATAAGACAAACAAGTGTCAGCACACACACCCAAGAAATTAGTTTCCTACAAAACATTTTTCTTTACCAGACTGGGTCACAAATATCATTGTGGATACTTACTCGTTCAGCAATGTCCAATGGTTTCAGGAGGACTAATGATCAAGCAGTCATGCCAAAGATTATATAACACTGACAAATGATTAACTCTGATGTCCCTCCCTTATGTTTTGCCCCTTACTGAATGACATCACTTATTTAAGTAGTTAGTGGAAGTAAACACTGTCCACACAGTGTCAATCACAGGCCAGATGTGGTCCACATGCAGAGGGTACATTGGATGGAACATTTGTCTCACAAACACTTCATTTTATAAGATCATTTAAGTAAAAATTGTCTGTTGAGTCATAAATCATCATCTTCTTTCTGCATGTTAACATCAGTCAGACATGTGGACAACAGCTTGATCAAGCATAACTGTAAAGAAAGTTAAAAGTGAAAGTAAAAGTTGTTGTGAAGAAATCCTGCTTCTTACCTTGAGTAGTGTAAAGTCAGCATGTCACTGAGGAGGCCAAATCACCAGGCTGCTGGTGGAAAATCTATTTTCCTCTATCATAACAACAAGAGTACCCATCCAGCTCAACAAAAGCATGAGGAATCCCCCCCCCCCACACATTAACACAACAGTCAAAGTCCATCCTCACACCAGCTGTGGAGATAACATGCATGAAGTTATCTCACAGAGACGCGCTGGATAGTTATTTCCTCTTAAATGAAGTGACAACGCAGTGGAGCTATAGCTTGTTACTCGGGCTCGTCTTCAATCCCTCAAAGGCCCCTCTTCCTGGGCAGCTTTCCCTCAGATCAATGGTTCCTTTATTCTCCCTTGGCTCAACATAAATAACATTTGAAACTGCTGCCGGGCAGCTTTCTACATTACAAACATGTGAGCCGGGCGTCTGCCATATTAAAAAAACGTCTGTAAGGAGAATCTACAGTATCATGAACACGAGCCAAGAGCGTGACATAGCTTGAGTTTGATTGCAGCAGTGTGCGCCTGGAGAACTCTTGAGTAAATGTTGTTGTTAACTTTGCTGAGGATAAATCTGGGTCAGGACCAGGACAAAAAGATATGGTCGTATAATGAAACTCAGGCATGTAAGGTGAAGTCCCCCTTTGGGACCCCTCTGTCCTCAGCCCTGGAGTGGAGATAACAGAGGTATAAGGTGTCCTGGGGTGTGGATAGACCTTGCAGTGGGAAAAGAATGTAGAGAAGGTACAGGTAGAGAAAATCAAACCACTGAATTTAAACAAGATAAAGATGGTTTTTTTTCACTTTTTATTTTCAATTGTCAATTTTTGCAATATACGGGTATGTATGCATCTATATAATTTTTTACACTAAATCTATATTGCGGCCTAGGAATATTTAGTTAAGTAAGAGGTCAGACTGTCAGGCAGAATTTGTATGCATTATTTAAAGGTTCAGTGTGTAAGATTTAGGTGAAAGGGATCTATTGGCAGAAATTTAATGTAGAATAATCCCCATGATGTTTTCACTAGTTCGTTTCATCTAAATTGTATGAATTGTAGTTTTCTTTACCCCAGAAAAGGTCCTTTATATTTAAATACTTTATATTTACATTGAGGGGGTCCTCACTACGGAGGCCGCCATGTTTTTTACATTAGTCCAGACTGGACAAACTAAACACCTTTTGAGTTTTTATGACAACTGAAGCTACCACAGGTTCTTCTTCATGCTTGGAAGGAGAGGGTGAGGTGAGGGGTGTTCAGCTGTGACATGCAACTTCAACACTAGATATCACTAAATTCTACACACTGTACCTTTAATCTATTTCTCTCCTATATTTGTATTACCACTTTTACAGGGGTAAATTGAACTTGAGCGACACAGTAATTAGTGATCAGTAATGAGTCCACTTTATGGCAGTGATGTTGAACTGTGTTGACAGAATAAAGTTGCCAAACAGAAGACGGAGTCTTATCTGTGTACAGGTACAACAGTGACAGACCTGATCCTATGCCAGTTACACCTGCATCCTATGCTTATCTACTCATATATGCACACCTACAGATTCCTTAATCTATATGAGCACATGTGAATGAACACGTGCGCAGTCTACTGACTGTCATAACATATGAGCAAGGAGCAAAGAAGCTTCTGTGTCAAGAGACTGTTTGAAAGTCATGGAGGTCAGTTAAAAGATATAAAATGATCCCATAGGGAGGCAAAACAACTATGAGACACAGAACTGCCCCAAAGAGACACAAAACTACTTCAGAGAGACACACTAAGATCATAAAGAGACACCATCAGAGAGACAACGCAAAATGGCCCCAAAGAGACACAAAACCGTTTGATTCTGCATCATTATCTATGTAACACTGTCAACTCCAGTGTATGTTTAGTCATATGTCCTCATGTTCAAGTACACAAAATTAATACTGATTCTCACAAACTTTACAAAGTTCTTTCCACAGCTCGTGTCCTAGTTCTGTTTTACACACATGTTTTTTCTCCCTGCCGTTGTGCACAGTCATTATACCTGAAGTCAGGAGCTGTGTTAAACATTGACTTTCCCTCGCTGACTGAAACCCACCGTCCCGTGAACTCACCACAGAGGATTGTTTGCACTGCTGCGTCTCCATACATAATGGTTAAATGATAGTTCCTTCTAAACATGCTTGTTTGTTCTGTAAGAAACAACAGGAGGAAAAGAAACTCACCCACCAATCTGACAACTCTCAGCGTCCAAACCCAGGACTTTCTGGCAGAATCCCAACAACCAAAGCAACAGCAGGCATGCACTGTAATTAAAAAGATGCCATTATCACATGAGAAGTATTTGGCTTAACTTAATTTACTGAGGCTGGACATGAACCAGAAGTGTAGAAAGAGGGCCCCTTCCTTCAAGCAGTAACTTTAGACATAAGGATTGTGGGTGACCGACATAAGACTGTAGCTCTTTAAAACACACTCAGTGTTTAGCAGATCACTTAAGATATAATGATTTGGCATGATTTTTTTAGCAAAGCCACAAAAAAACATCTTAAAAAGAATTTTTTA